CGAAACCTACCTCCTTCAATGGGCGAAACTGATCAGCCTTATTTGAAGGATGCACATGTTTTCAAAAAGAACCAGCCCAGTGTACCAGAAAGCTTGAAATGTCGCTGTTCTGGAATTGTGTCAGCATATTTCCTCACGTGACGACACGTCCTTCAACTCCCACGGCAGTGGTTCAGTAGGGACCCAACGTGCTGCTTCCATCGCAATTTGCCACCTCAATTGGGAAACAAACGATCGATATTATATAATATAAACAGTCTGAGTTTGGAGATCTCGGTGCATGAATAGCAGATTAATGTATACAGGATTTCAATTGGGACGCTCACGATTCCTCAGCTCCACCATGTTTCCGCCAGTAGATCGATAGTCCGTTCTTTCCATCAGCCTCGTCGGATAGCAAATCACACATCCTATTAATATGTAATGCACGCACATTTTCACTTATGCCTTCAGTTCGATGCCGTGCACCCTTCCAACATCGTCCAGATGGGATTGTGCCACCTTGCCGACATAGAATCCAGGAGGCCAACGCCTGGAACATCACACATTAATATATAATATATATGCTACTAGCTAGTACATAGTGGTGCATGCATCAGCGCAGTGTCATTTACGCTGGCAGACTAAGCCCTCTGCAAGACACCAATGCTTGATGGGTTCTCAGATGCATAACTGGTAGGTGGCCCCGCAGTGTAAAGCACCTTGGAACTACATCACTGCACAATATCGTACTTACGTACTATATAGCACCATGTTCGCTAAGGACAAAACGTTTTCTCCGATAGATCCCTGTCCGGAATGTAGAAGGCCTCATTCGATTTGGAAAGCTTGAGCAGCTCGTCCATCTCCCAATCCTGCATGCATTATGCAGCAAATAGAGGAATCACGTTTCTATCACGGTCCTTCTTCGGCTTTTTGGCTTCTTGCTTTTCCTTCTTCTCTTTCGGCTCATGCTTATTCTCGCGCCGCTTGCTCTTAACCTCCTTCTGTTCCTCCGAGCCCGCGGTAGCTGCCATGGATCTTTTATTCCTTTTCTTGCCACCGTTTTCCATCTTTTCATCTCCATCTTTGGTGGCGCTTTCCTCACGTTCATTTCCATTCCTTTTTGGTGTCTGTCGAGGTTCCTCCTTCCTTTTCTTGGTCTCTTTTGCTTTTTGAGTCTTTTCTGCTTTCTCCGCTTCTTTTCCTGACTGCTTGAGTTCATCTGTATCCTCATTGCAACGCTTTCGAGATTTCTTCTCTTCATGAGCCTCCTGCCAGAATATAAAGTATTGTTCAAGATATGTTTGAAGCATCTCAGGAATCGGTTGCCCACAGTGTGCTGGGGCTGCGTTGCGTGTTGTCCAAATGACACATGGAAGCTCTTCAAGCATTAGCTGTCGCAACCCCGGCTTTGGTTTGATATCCCACTCCTTGTCATTCGCTCCTTTTTCCTTGTTCTTGATCTTTGTATCTTCTCCACGCCCACGACCTTTCCCTCGGCCTCGCCCACGACCTCGTCCTTTTCCCTTCTTCCCTTCCTCTCCCTCCTCACCAGAAAGCATCTCTTTGTACTTCTTATCTTCATCACTCACATCCTCCTCGTTTTCTTCAGGCTTCTTCAAGGACCTCCTTAACGCTCTTTGGGCCTACCATGTGACAAATGGACTTGACTTAAGCATGCATGTAGCCACGCACATGCACAGTGAACGGCGAGTACACACATGGACCGACAGTTGGAGCTTGCCTTGACCAAATCTTTGCTATTCCCGGACTTCAATTCCAGCTCGTTGCAAAGCTCATCTGCATGTTTCTCCAGAGCTTCCATGGGAGTAGCAATAGACTTGGTGAGTGGGCGGCGCTCCTGGATGAGTAGGGAAACGGTTGAATCTGAATAGGTTGATGGAGAATGAACATCATGAAAAAGAGACAAAGTTCCAAACACACAAAATGGGCTAGTAGTCCTTTGCTGATGGCTTCTCTTCCTTTTCTTGTTCTTCCTCACTGACCAGCTCTTCTGGGGCAGCTTCAACTTCTGGATTTACTGTGTGCTCTTCATACCCAGCATGTGACGGTAGATACGGTTGTGTGTCTGGTACCTCCTCCTCGGCCTCCTTCCTTTTTGAACTTTCTCCCATCTCAGCCTCACCTCCATCTCGTTCTTTTGTTTCACAGGATGGAGTCAAGGTTGCCTTGTCACACGGCACCTCGATCTCCTTTGCATCATCATCATCGTCATCCACCACCTCTACCTCCTCCTGCTTCTTTGTTTCCGATTCATCCTCCTGTTCATCCTCCGTTTTTGCATGTGCTTCTTTCACTTCATCTTCGCAGGTATCCTCTGCCTCCTCTTCCTCCTCCACACATTCTACCTCCTCTTCCTCCTCCACACATTCTACCTCCTCTTCCTCCTCTCTTTCTTGACTTTCTGGCTCCTTTTCTTCAGCAGGTTGACCCTCCAAATAGTCATGGTCCTCTGCCTCCAGAAGTGTGACGCTTGATGAGCTCGTGGACCCAAGACTTTCCTGACGTGCTGTCAAAGTTGTTCTACGATAGCTACATCATGTCGACCACTACATCGATCGATCCATTTAAAAAGATATATGACAACCCAATCGGCCTTCGACCCGTTCTTTCTCGATGGTGGTCCCCTGGTACCAATCTTTTTCCCGTCCTCACGGAGAAGCCCTGCAGCCTGAGCACACTGCTAAACCTGAATGTGTTTTACATGTGTGACCTAGTTGGTAGCCTCAAGAGTCTCCTTTATGATCTTCTTCAAATCGCCCATGCGCGAATGCTTGGGCCTGAAAACAGACTGGTTATAAAACAGGGAATGAAAGAACAAGTGAACAAGCAAGGACAAAACACCAAGTCTATCATCGTTGCCTAGTTCCAACATTTCTCTGAAAACGATCCAAGGCGTATTGACCGAGCCCTCGATGAAGCGAAGATTCTCGCACGCTCCACGCCTGATAGTAAATCACGATCACTCCAAGTCTCAAACGACTGCGTATCGGACATGAAATCTAAACCAGATAGATTTATAACTGCAGCTAAGAAAAACAACTGCTAGCAGGCCTCATGCTCAAAATTCTCTGAGAAGTGGGGGTTGAGGGAGAACTCTTTGCTGCACCATTCCAACGCAATCTGGCAATATATCTCGGTATATATACAAAGCACGACTGTAATCCGATTCCATTCATTCGCTCATGCTGGAAACATTTGAAAACTAACATTGTTATTTATAAATGCAGAGGCCTCTGTCTCACGTTTTCTAGGTGGAGCTGCTGCGAAGGTTGCCAGCCAATTGGCCGTGAGTGGGAAGTTTGTGTCGTTGCACACCTGCATGCACGCACGTGCTTGTAAGGACTATATGGACCCGATTTGCTCAAACTCGCACATGTAATGCATGCACCATGCATGCAATAATTCAAAAGGCAAAGACAAAATACACCTGCTCTTCTCCTAGTTCCAATTTCTTTTTTCCCTCGGGAAGCTTGATCTCGACCATCGAAAATTTGGGCACCTAACACAGTAAAATTGGACAGTTGCACAAACACCCATGCAATGTAATCAAAAAAAAGTAGCTACTTTCGATATCCCAGGAGCTCTTTTGTCCTTGGGGTGCATTTTCAATCGCATCTTGATCTCTTGGCGGCGCCGGGAAATGTAGTCCGGATCTGATGTCAAAATGTCTCGGTAAAATGCCTGCATGCGCACAGGATCAGACTGACTCGACCTGGGGGGACCATAGTGTAACAAATATATTGTAATGCACATGATTGCAAGCCTTGCACAGGTCCACCATCTCTGGACGGGTTTTTGCTGGCATGGCTGGACAGTTGAGAGAAGCACACTAAACCGGTATGTTCACCACAAGATGTCCCATGAAAAAATGTACGAACATGCCCTCTCAATCTCACTTTGAGCCCAAAGAATTGGTCCATTATAATGCTTGAAACTCAAATGAAATCATACTGCGCAGCCCACGCTAAGAAATTGCAAAACAGACGCATGGCAGGGGCAGGCCTTCCCCGAGCTCATCATAATCTCCCAAAACAGCATCAGCCAAGGCCGCACGCATACCATCAGTACTCGATATGGTTTGGAAGTTCAACACATGAAAAATTATATGCATATGACATCGAGCTCCAACTAGTGCCCTTTGCGGACCATTGTGAGACACACTTCTTCTCCTTGATAAACGTGCCACATGACACAATTTGGTCACTCATACCTGCAGCAACAAGCCAACATGCCCGCTGGGTTCCTAAGAACTGTTTTTTTCTTCAACTTCCCTAAAACTGTCGAGAGGGTTTAATGTAAGGTGGTTGAGCCAGAAAACTGTCGAGACAGTTCTAAATACTGTCGAGGAAGGCCAGGGTATATATATATATATATTTATCTATTTATTTATATATATATATAATCGTATATATATATAAATTGTTGATTCCCCTCCACAGATTCCAAAAGGTTCCTATGAGGCTATGAGGGGTGCTGATCGGAGGGTGGGCATGAAATATTGCACTTGGCAAGGGGAAGGATGCCGGCGAGTCTAGGGCTTTGGGACATGTGTTTGCTGACCAAGACTCCGACACTGACCTTTTAAGAGGGCGTTGTCGGTCGTGCAGCCTTCTGTTGCAGCTGCAAGGCCAATCAACATCTTTGACTTCCTATATAATTAGGTTCTAGGCCGCCATCCTTTCTCCAAGAAGCACTGTCTCAGACAGAGCTGGACGCAGGCGACTGCATGTTAAAGCAAAAAAGCCCAATGACTGGGGTATGCACATGTTCTATAACGAGGTGACATCGCCCATCAGGGGCCATGCGTTTTGCAGGTTTCTTGCTTTCCACCGCGAAGGTGGATTTTTGGATGCCGCATTGAATGCCAGTTTAAACAACTTGAACCAAAACAATTGAAGGGCACTTGGGTCAGAGGCGCGGTTCACAAAACGATCAAAACGACACCCAAGGCTGAGAGGTGGGTGCAGCTCGAGTGAGGAGTCGGTGTTGATCAGGATCGAATCGTCGATTTGGAGAGGGAGCTGCAGAAGAACCTCGAGAGATATGAGGAGCTGGAACGGTTGTAAGATGTTGCAAGTCAAGTCAGATGACTTTTGAAGTGCATGTACGTGGTCTACATCATGGTTCAGCACAAACAGAGGGTGGCAACTGCAAGTTTGATCAAATTTGCTTTTGGGCTCTTGGGGAACCACCAAGAAGAGACAGAAGAGTCAGTTGACAAAGGAGGGAAGAGCAGAGAGAGCCCCCTCGGAGGGTAGTTTACCCCCCCTAAGAGCCGATGCTGGGAGGAGATACACGCTATATCAACATGTTATGTTGTATGTTGTTGTATACATGATGTAGGTACGAAGGCCAGACGAGTCAGAGTCTTTTTTTTCTCAACACTGTGAGATGCCCATAGACTCCATAGACAATTCTGGGATGAGTTTCAAGCCTTGTCGCAGCATGTCGCAGCATCGAGATAATTGGTCCGTGGTCAATTGGGTATCGGCGTGGGGTCCGCTGACCACACCGCAGAGCAGCAGAACTGCCTACAGCACAGAGGTGTTTCCTCATTTTTTTGGTGTGTGTGTGTGTCCTATGTTGGCTTTCACTGGTGCATACTTATCCTATCTTATCCTGCAGGGGAGAATGAATGTCGAACAGCAACATGAAGAAGAACACACACCAACCAAACAAACAGACAAAACAGGTCCGTTTTCGGACAGTGGCATTTAAGGTGCTTCATCATCTAAAGGTTATATTGGGTGTTTGCCGCTTCTACTTGAAATCCTTTCACAGCCGCAGTTCGCATAGTTCGCGAGTCATTTCACACTTGCCTCTTCCTTGGCCACACAGTTCGCCGTAAAGCAACTGGCTCGGTCTTCGCGGTGTGGCCTTTGGTCTTGTCTTGCCCATCGAAAGGGTGATGGAGAGAGAGGGGAAGAAAGGGTCTGGAGGATGGAGAGGAGAGGTCTGGAGGATGGAGATGGGTCACTTTCTTTTGGCAGCAAGCTGCCGAACAAAAAACCTTATCCCACTGGCGTCCGGACGGCACCTTTTTCCACCACCCCGCCAGGATTTATGCCAGCGCTCTGAGCGGCTGCAGCTGAGGGCGGAGGCGGAGATCGAGCAGCGGAAGAGGTGCGCGGGAGTTGCTTGGAGCAGGAGTTCGGTGGTGTAGGGCCTCATGCCTCAGTGTAGGAAGTGTAGGATGGTTTTGGAGACCACTTCAGCAAGGACTGACTGACCCCTCACTGTTCCTTCGTAGATGTTGGACCCTTCCGGACCTCAGAGCCTGGAGAACCTGGACATCTCGCACGTTGCCAAGCACAGCTGGGCATGGTGAGGGAGAAAACAACCCGGAAATCCTGGGACCTAGGACTGGGATTATACAGAGAGTTTTTGAGCTGTTGTTTGGCAAAGCACAACTATACATTATCATACTATGCAAGATCCTGCCGCTTTTGCCAGCAAAACTCAGTAGACACACCAGCTGCGGACGTGATAGGATCCAGCAACAGTAGGAGGCTGCCAACAAGGCAGTAGAGGACCGTGCAGCTGGGGACCTTGTGGCGCCCACTTGCTCCAGTTCTTTAGGCTGTACCAGGTCCAGAGATTTGTTTCAAAATGCACCCCCAGGCCTTATAATCGTTTCATCATGTCCCATTGAGTTTCATAATTGGTATAATTACCTCAGTTCATGAGTGAATTTTCAAGGTAGCTTCATCCTTTTAGGATTTTGCCAGCTGATTCATGGGGGGTCTTGATTTTTCGATATCAATTTATGTTTGACTGGAGGCTGATGCAAGGTGCCACCATCATTCCTTGACGCTGACTGGCAACTGTTTCTCAGGAGCAGGTTCTGAACGTTTCACGATGTTTCACTTGACCATCCAGAATCCAGACTTGGATTATCGCCACAGGTCAGGCAATCGATTCACAGTTCTGTTGGAAGTAAAATGTCACGCTTGGTGGTTGGACATCCTGAACGGTTTTTCTCCGTGTCCAGTATTTTGTCCATCGTACGTTGACGGCTCTCCTTTGCCCTTCAGGACTGCCGTGACCTGAACATGAAGCTTCACACACGTGTCTCCACCGGAGAACACTCCAAGAGCCTCATGCAGAGCAGGAGCAAACGAGAAACATATATAAGTCGTCGAAGATATCGAGGTTTTGCCCCCTCCCTGCACAATCATGGAAGTGGACAACACCCATTTGGTAGAGGAATTATAATTCCTGGGAGTGTACCCAAACACAGCTTTGCAATCTCTGGAAGAACTTCCCTTGACGTACATTGGTGGTGAGCGATCAGTTGGTGAGTGCAAAAGTATGACAACAAACATCGGGTCCAACAGGACCACCCATAGGCTCGTCGAAGCGCCACGGTGTTGCTAGATCCACACACACCGAGCCGTTTCTCGGCTCGGTGTTCACCAGCTCACATGGGATCCAACGGAGGATCCGAATCCAGGTAGTAGTATATAGTAATACTTGGTGTATTTTGGTGTTTTTGCATTGCAGAGTTGATTGATTTGGCTACAATATTCGGGTATCAGGTACAGTATGCTTTGTTTTTAGCTGACACTGTATTTGACCAATTTGTACCATTTGAGGCCTTATCGCGTCCCGTTTCAGATCGCTTATATATATAGTTGTTCCATTTGTTTCAGTCTTCTTCGAGCACACCGGTAGCTTCCAGCACTGAATCCGAGCCCGAATACAGTGAAACTGGAAAGCTAATTTTTGGCATTGATATGCCTATGTCAGTTTCCTCTATGAAATGACGGGGGATAACCCCTCATATAAAACGTTTAATACCCCCCTCACTGGGCTGGTCAGGCGAGTCATTTTATAGTGATTTGAGGTTTTTGTGAGGGTGGTTCCAAAGTCTTTCAGTTCTTAATATCTAAAGATTTAGGAAGTTACTGAGGGGCAGAATTTTGGAACGCAGCTATCAAAAACAACTAGTGATGCAGCTATCAAAAATGCTGTTGAACCTCTCATTTTATAGGACCCTCAAATTTATAGTTGCACAAGTGTATTCACATTTGGGGGTTGGCATAACCGTTTTATACCTACAAAATGAGGTCAAGGACCCCCCCCCTGTTATTCACACAGCCATGCATTGATTATAGCAGCAAAAAATCATCATATTCAATGCATCCTACATTATACTCATCCCTTCCTTCTTGATTTGTTTGGGTTATTAATAGCAAAATATCTCACACGCTTCTCGCATCTTCCCACCGCTGCTTTTGGCAGGATCGAGGCTTTGCAAGACGAGCTGCGCCAATTCAAGGCCTTGGAGGCGAAGAACACCGAAGAAGCGGTGCGTTTGGTGCGCGTCAGAGGAGGTTTGTGTTTGACAACGTGTTCGGTCGATCGGAAGTGAAGAGCCAAAAGCCCCGGTCATGCAATGATAGACTTGGAGTTGTCACAACTTAATATTCTCTATATAGACGTTTTATAATTTACAAATATGTAGTGATATGTTATGTGTTTCAATGGTCTAAGTGCTAAGAACGGCGATAGAAGGCTTTTGGACACTGTTCCACAGTTCAGCTTCGGTGGTCAACACGGATTGCTCGTTTTCGATCCTCACAGCGGCATGAGTGGAGGAGATTCGCTTTTGCAAAGCGCGGGCTGCGTATGTGCAGCCTAGTAGTAAGGCACTTGTTTCTAATAGCTTCTTGTTACTACTAGTAAGGCACTTGTTACTAGAAGCGATGCACTTGTTCCTACTAGCGAACCTTGTTCCTAGTAGTAAGGCACTTGTTACTAGAAGCGATGCACTTGTT